GGTTCAGAGAATTAGACATATTTATATAATATAATTTATGGTAATCCAAAAATGTAATTGTAATTGCATTTTGGGTTTGTAATAGAACTCTTTTACAAAAAACTGACTTCATAAGAAACAGAGCTTTTAAAATGATGTCAATAACATCGTTGTTAAAATAATTCTAAATAAATGTTAAGTGAAAAAAATGATAGAAAGCGGAAGATGTGAAACAAAAAGTGACAAAACAAACAGAGAAGTTCCACAGAAGCCAGCTGGGCACTATTATCCCGACCACATTACATTCCTCCATTGTATATAATAATAAACCAGTAGATTGATTTGATGTTGAGTAGGATCTGGTTTTCCGAGAAATCCAGGATGCACCATCTTCTCATTTGTTATGTGAAGATGTTGTGCTTTCTTGTCCTCTCTGTGTAGTGTCTCTCCAGATGTCCCGGCCTCAGGAACGTTTGTGTTTAAAACCCATTATCTGATTGGAGCTCGTCCATCAATACAACCGTAGGTCTGCACAAAAGTAGAAGGGAAGGAGGACTCTGTGTTTGGCTAATGAAGCAGGTCACTTCTGGCCTTCCATCCACCAGTGTTTAAATATTGTACATGTGTGACAGCTGCTGTATACACTAATGTACATATAGGTCACATCATCTTATTTTACCTTTTGAAAATAATTTCAACGTATGGTTCGTTATACTGAAAACAGTAGGAATATAGCTATTTCATACCATTAAAGTAACACAATTCTCCTGTTGGTCAGTGCATCTGGCTGTTCGGATTGGCTGAAACTATATCTTGTTGTTGGAAACTTTTTATTTACAAGGTGAATATGATTTTCACCACTGGCCACTTTGTTAGGTACATTAGTTCTGCTGCTCCTTAATGCAAATCCTTAATTAGCCAATCACATGGCAGCAAATCGATACACTTAAACATGTAGACATAATCAAGACCACCTGCAAAAGTTTAAACTTAGTGTCAGGAAGAAAGGTGATTTAGATAACTTAAATGTGTCATGGGTTGTTGGTGCCACATGGGCTGTTCTGAATATTTTACAAACTGCTGACATGCTGGGATTTTAACACACAATCATCTCTAGCAACAAAATGGCCTGAAAAAGAGAAACTATAGAATGAGCAACAGTTCTCATGGGGAAAATGTGTTGCTGACGTCAGAAGTCAAAGGATAATGGTGTGACTGCTTTGAGCCGAAAAGAAGGTAAATCTAACCACTTGCTACAAGCAACATTTGTAGAAGAGCATCTTTGATTGGACCACATTTCAAATCTTGAAACAGATGGGCTACAACAGCAAACAGTGGACCATACTACTTACCATTCCTGTCAGGTAAATGCAAGAATCTGATGATACAATTATACGCAGGCTCATCAAAATTGGTCGATAGAGGACCAAAAAAACGATCCGTGGCCTGATGAGGTTTTGCTGTGACATTCAGATTTGGTAAAAACAACTTCTACGTATGTGCAGTGATATTTTCCCTGCATGCTTTAGACCAGGGGTGGGCAATCTCAGTCCACGAGGGCCAGTGTCCTGCAGGTTTTAGATCTCACCCTGGGTCAACACAGCTGAATCACATGATTCGTTCGTTACCAGGCCTCTGGAGAACTTCAGGACATGTTGAGGAGCTAATTTATCCATTTAAATCAGTTGTGTTGGTTCGAGGACACATCTAAAACCTGCAGGACACCGGCCCTCGTGGACTGAGATTGCCCACCCCTGCTTTAGACCCATTAGTATCAACTGTGCCACAGCCTACCTGAGTAATACTGGTGACCACGTCCATCCCTTTATGACCACAGTCTTAATGACTTCCACTGGATAACGTGCCATGTCTCAAAGCTCAGATGATCCCAAACTGGTTTCTTCAACATGAAAAAGATTTCAGTATAATCCAATGACCTCCACAATTACCAGATCTCAATCATATAGATAGAGCGTCTTTTTAAAGCACATAAATATTAAATAATAATAATATTAAAAAACAGATTTTTGTTGTTCTGCTAACTGCAGGTTATTTAACTAAAGAGTATCACAAAGCACGCAGAGATAATCCAGGTGTATGTCAGAAAATAAAAGTGATATGTATAAAGTTATAAATTGATATATAAAAGAAGCTGATTTAATTTCCTTATTTGCTTTAGCTGAAATGGAAAAATGGAGGTGGTTCACATGCCATGCCGGCTGATAGTAACCTGGAATGTTCTTATCTTTTTAAGGTTGCAGTGATAACAGTGTTATCCTCTTTCATTCATGAACAGTGGAGCAAAATATCTGGGCTGATTAATGTGAGGGCCAACAAAAAAATGAATTAGTTGGTCAACGTTAGTGGGCTCTGGGGCCTCATCTTCATCCTCAGCAGCTCCGCCTCAGGAAAAGACACTTTTAGCATAACTGCCGCCTCCTCCTTTTAGAGTGCACTTCCCCTTTAAAGCATCAGAGAGGAAGCCACACACTTGGCTGCTCACTCTGCCTCTTTTTTAGTTTGTGGTTAGGTTTTGCAAAGGCTGCTGGGGTCAGGTTCACTGAGGAGATCTTAAAGGGTAAAGAAAGTAGTTTATGGTGGATCTCATTAGTGTTTATAGCTGCTGGGAATGATACAAAGGAGAAATAATAAGTTACCAGAAGAAGAGAGTGGACTGCATTAAACTTTTAAATTCTCCTCACAAACATACATGACTGGACTATTCATCACAAAAAGGTAAAGGCTTTATTGATGCTTTTGTTTTTTTTGTTTCAGAAACATATTTTATGTACTGACATGTTATCTGCAGACGATGCTGTTCTGATGTGATCTAACATTTTTCTCCATTAAAAATCTACAGTTTAAAACAACACAATTTTATTTTATGCATGACTGGCTTCTGCACTTTTTAACAGTGGAAAGTTCTGGAAAATGACTTGAAAAATAATTTCAAGAAGCCCTCAAAGCTTCTCAGAAGCATTATAACACATTAAGGCAATGTTGTTAAAAAAAATCAATGTGTTTTTGTGTATTCGCCTTTTAAGACCTTTTAAAGACTGTTTGCTGAGACTGTAACAGGACTTTGATACCATTAAAGTCCCATCACCGAGTTTTTTACATGTATATGAATGCTGGAAACATTCACGTGTCAAACATAAAGTGCATCACTGTGTAAAAAGTGTTGGACGGTTATAGAAAATGCTCCTGTTTTTAACGGCTATAAAACTTTTATTTTCAAAGGATTTTAACCAGGTGATATAAAACATGCGTGCAGCACATGGGTGTGGTTTATTGTAGGTCGCTGTGAGAATCTGCACATTTTCCCCTGACTATAAACTAACTGTGACAGGATATGCATCACTCTGTGAGTTATAATACACACAAAAGCTGTTGTAACTGCAGAGTCCCAGCTGATGAATTATTAAATGACATGTGCCTCGTATCCAGCACTGCAGGCTACAGCTGTCGGCGTTTTTCTTGCTCATTTAACTTGCTGTGTGTGAGTTTATTTTTAATGTAAACCACTTTGTCGGACTGCGCGTCTAACTCAGCTGCTCACTCATACGAGAGCAAAATGCGATCTCTAGATCTGAATATAAATAGCAAGCGCGCTGAATGTAGCACAGCGTGTACTCACGCTAATTTCCTTTTCCACTTTGTCACTTTCTTGTCAACTTCATCTGATTGAAATGTGCTCAGACTTTCATTCCGTCTGTTTTCGTTCTGGAGGCGTTCCGACTTTTCCTTGGTCCTTGAGACCAAATTCCTCATCGGCCCTCCATAGAGGGAATAAATCAATTTCAATTTTACCACATTATTTGCAGTAGGCCCGAGTTGCCTCTGGACGTTTGTGGTGACTAGGGCAGGGCAATATGGCCAAAAATATATATCATGATATATATTTAAAAATTTGCAATAACAATATAACTGACGATATAATTGACTTCTCTTTCCACATGCTGAATGAGCATCATATCCCTGGCTAAACAATGCATCACTGCATTAGTTAGTTCCTCCCAGCATTTGCTACTTTTGTCATTAGAGATGCAGTAGGACTGGGCGATATGACCCAAAAATCATATCTCGATACTCTTTAGCTGGATGGTATATCGATGATATACGATATATATCTCGATATTTTTAAAGCCAGAAAGTACGAACAAAAAGAGAGTTCTTAGTTAAAGCTGTGTCCCAAATCTCACACAGGCACATTTATTAACATACAGCGTAGATGTACATGAAACAATTACTCAGAAATAAATGATCAGCATTTATTAAATAATAATGCTCCATAAATAAAAGAAAACAATGTTGTTTTTGTGCATAACAAAAAGCTCACAATCGTGCAGTCAAAATGTAAACTAACAGACGCTGAGCATAATAACAGCTGCTCTGTTCCCAGGTTCTACTGCGTGACTGACAGCCTGGAGTTTGAAATCCTCTTTGTAACCGTGTCTCTGACAGGTGCCATTTATGGTCCTTATACACACTCAATACAGTAATATTACGTTGAAGCAGAGTACGTATCACTCCGCCAGGCTCCTCGGTAGCTGTAATGCTCCAACAATCCATCAAGCGGTGCGGCCTTGTAGCTTAGCAAAGTCGTACCAAAACATTTTTTGAAAGGTTTCTGAGCGCCGTGTAGCACATAAAATCGGTTCGCGGTCAGTAAGCACAACCAGAATTCATCCATAAGGCGCACTGTAGACTTTTTGAGAAAATGAAAGGATTTCAGGCCTCAACGCGTTAGCGTGGTTAGCTCGTTAGCGTGGTTAGCTCGTTAGCGCGGTTAGCTCGTTAGCGCGTTGACACCGTTCAGCCCCATGCACGGGGCAATCCGCGGTAACTCGTTAACAGAGATTTGCCCCGTTAATGCAGTTATGGCGTTAACGTCACGCTGACAGCAATAAAATAGTAATCTCCAAATGTTTTCTTTTTCAGTCCTAGGTGCAGCTATTTAAAGCTACGCCGATTGTTTCTTTGGTCTCACCACCACGCTAGTTGAAGCGGACGTTTCTTCATGTGCTTTAACAGCTTTGTTGTACTCCAACAAGTGCTTCTGGTTCAAATGATGAAATAGGTTTGTGGTGTTTCCTCCCTTTGCCCCCACGGCCCGCTTGCATGTTCAACAAAAATTTTTTGCTTTGTTGTGTGTCTGACGGATGAAAACCAAACCAGTTCCACACCACTGAAGTTGCAGCATTTTTACAAACCAATTTTGGTTCATCTGATTCATTCGACAATCCGCTTTCGCCCTTCTCATTCTCCGTCGCCGCCATGCCTGTTCGCCATAAGCGTATGAAAACAAAGGCATGTATGTTTTACCCATATTCTAGCACGATATTTAATTTCCTTATCGTTGCCTAACATTATACCGGTATTACCGTGAAAGGTATAATATGGCCCAGCCCTAGTGGTGACCGCGTAGGCTCAAATGACCTGGTTAAAAGCTTGAAATAACTTTTAGGTCTTACTTCACAAGTTTAAGACACATAGTCTTGCTTTAAGGCACTAAAATTGTGTCACTGTAAAACAAATGAGAAACTTTTAAATCGTTTTTCTTACAATACACTGTTGTGCAAGACTAACAAGGCATAGTTGTTGTTTATTGTTATCCTAGGTTAAATTCTGGTTAGTTTTGCTTTTGAACTTATTTTATGTTGTTTCTAGTAGGTCTTACACTTTTTTACAGTTAATCGTTATCTACTCAGTGCTCAGGCATCATTCTCTTCCTGTTCTGAAACCAGAAAAGGAACCAAATTGTTAATAATTGATCTTTATTCACCTCCTTATGTTTCTCCACAAATAAATAACTGCATGTACTCCAGATAGGTTAGCAGATGCTCTTAACTGACATCAGACATGTAACTCTCACATCTAACCTTTTTTTTCAGTTTTTGTGGTCTCCTCTGCTTATACTATCATTGTTTCTCATTCCTTATAGGGTACCTTGACAGGGTGGCTGCAGATGAGAGGAAGTTGAAGGAAGTCACCTACAATCGGTCAATCTGGGAACCGTTAGCTAGTTGGACTAAACCTCATGGGGCAAATTCAGTGTGAATTAAGCTTAAAATGCTAACTTGCTGATATATGATAAGAGGTGGTTTTGACATTGGTCTCCTAGTGGACTGTTTAATTGAAAGCAATCCAGTCCTGCTTACTCAAGACTGGTCAGTGGTGTTCAAACTACGAGCAGCTTATACCGAAAATCTTTTCCCCTGCTGACAGAGTCTGCATATTCATATGCAGATATCTGTTTATAAAGACTAACGATGGACTTTGACGACTCCTATGTTCTGCTCTCTGAAGAGCAACTCATCTACATCATCACCATTCCCCTGTCGACCTCCATCATCCTGGCCAACCTCGTCATCATCTTGGGCATCTCCTGGAACCGCCAACTCCACAACACGCCCAACTACTTCTTCCTCAGCCTGTTAGTAGCCGACTTGTGTACGGGCATGGCACTGCCGTTCATACCGCTGATGGGTCTAAACAGGCATTTAAGTTTTAGCTCCTGTCTGGTGGCTCACGTGTTCCCAAATTTCCTCTTCTTGGCGTTCCTCTTCAACCTGGTAATGGTTCACTATGAACGCTACATATGCATTATTGACCCCTTGCATTACAATAACCTGTGGATGCATCGCAGTTTTCCCTTAACGCTGCTTGTGGTGTGGACTCCGGCACTTTTGTATGCAGCTCTACCTGCCTTTGGCTGGAATAACTGGACAGGGTCAGATTTTAACAGTTGCTGTGAAAGTACCCAAAATTTAACGGCATTTTCAAACTGCTTAGCAAATACAACCAGCTGTTGCTCGTACAAGAGGGTGTTCCCCAATGCATTTATCTTCCTGGAGGTGTATGGACTTGTTTTACCTGCTATTCTGGCCATCGCCGCCATGACCGGCCATGTTTTGTGGATCACTCGAGGCCAGCTGAAGGACATATGCCGCCTCCATCGTTCGGTGGAGCGAGGAAGTCAGGCCTCTGACCAGGAACATAAGCTGAACCTGCGGTACACGCGCTGCGTGGTAGCAGTGTCGCTGACTTTTCTCGCCTGCTGGGTTCCCTACCTCATTTACATGCATGTTTCCATAGCACTGGTGGTCAGCGACTCCAAGCGGAGTTCTACCACTCACATTGTGCTGTCCTGCACTGGTATTGGAAGCATGGCTGTAGTGCCGATTGTGCTGGGCTTGGCCAACAGACAATACACAGAACCTGCGTTAAAACTTCTCCAGAAACTCAGAGGCAGGTGCAGGCCAAGGACACAGGCATCAGAGGAAGCCACGGTCTGAAATGATACTGGTTTATCTAAATATTTATGAATATATTCTACAGAAAGCCACTGGACCACTGAAAGAGAAATAAGAAATATGGCTCTACAGCAGAAAACCCCCACATCTACTAGAGGGCGATCGTGGCTCAAGAGTT